CAAAATCATAAGAAAAACATTAATCACGAGATATGGTAGTGAAAACGAGCTCTCAACCTGGTTGAACGGAACTGCTCACGAGTCGGTGAACGACCTGAGGAATAGCGTCGGGTTGTCCCCGCGTAGAAGTTTTGATGCTTAAGTGAAGTCAACATGATGAAGATAAAGATGAATTGCATGTAATTGTATGTATATTAGAGTGGTAAGAGTTGTGATGGACACCTTTGTTGTCCAGGATTGTCCGACTAAGCTGCTCTCGTGCTCGAGCTACCAGATTGTACTGCATGGATGCTCAGATTTGCCCACCAGATTGTACTGCATGGGTGCTCAGATTTGTCCAATTTTGTTAGCCCACGCGATCTTTAATTATTGGGGATCAAAAAGGACCAAATTTGATGACTTATTAGGGGAAAAACGAAGTAAGAACATGCTATTGAAGACGTTGCAACATTTCTCCCGTGTCTTCTTCCTTTGTCGAGATCAAGTCATTCTCGCTCAAGCATAGGCGGGAATTTTCCATAGAATAGAGTATCTCTATTATCTATTATATAGTGTGTTTACAATAGTCTATCTCATTAGGTATCTTAATTGTGCTCGCTCCGCTACGTTCGCATGCATCAACCTGCCTCCTTCCTTTGTCAATATATGAGTCATACCAACATGCTATTAGCTTGATTCCCTTGAACTAGATCACTTTTCCAATCAAAATTGATATCCATGTCTGCGATCAAGCATCAATATGTTTCAATTGAAAAGTTCTAAATTTCGAAACATCCAATATTACAAGTAATATGAAGTGTGAGAAAATTTTCTTAAGTTTGTACAGTGCAAATTTAGATAAAGCTATGATGTTTTCATTAAGCAAGACCATCTTCGCAGTTTCCCCCGGTCAGCTGGTAATACTCAAGGCCACGGTAATCATCAAGTCCGGTGCTAAGGAATTTCGAAAAATATTCACCAACTACAACATCTCGATATATCGGCGGATTTTCTTCCGATATCAGCTCTTTAATTGGACCATAAACTTTAGACGCATCAGCAGGCCCAGAGAAAAAGCATACGACCGATATTCTTGGGCCTATGCGGCTGGCTCTCGCCCAATGCTGAACGCTTTTAAATTTCCCGTTTGATACCAACTGCACAAAATGCACAAGCAGAAGGAAATAAAAAACAAATAAAAGAAATTATAAAACGAGCATACCAAGTAAAACATTGAATACTTGATGAAAAAATATTAAAATTGTGATTTTCACCACTGAATAAATAAATAAGGTGTACCTGGAGAAGATCACCAATGTTGACTACTAAAGCTCCAGGAGTGGGGTGCACATCAACCCATTGGCCTTGATATAAAGCCTGTAGAGCACTTATGCCTTGGCTTTGCAAGAGAATGGTAAGAAATCCAATATCTGAATGCTTGGATATCCCAATGGCCAGTTCCGGCTGGGGACAAGCCGGGTAATAATGGCAGTGGAGGCGGTGTCCCTTGGAGCACTCCATATTTTCGAGGTGATTAGTTTTGAGCCCAAGCGCCTCGGACAATAGCCCAAGCAGATTATTACCCAATATTTCTACGTGTTTCGAGTACTCAATTGTGGATTCCCTATTCATATATACACCAAAAACTTATACACATTTTCTCTATGTAGTGAACACAAATGTTCCTTAATATGATCCAAAATGAAAACTTGTCTATGATCGTATAATATGCTACAATGTTCAGTTGAGATACACACAAACATATAGTCAAACTCCATAACAAAGACATAAAATTAGAGATCTCTCGCTAGTATATTGTTAGAATATCGGAATAGGTCTACCATAAAAGCCTAGTGGGCTACTACTCCCTTCAATCAATTGATTTTGGGATGAAACCTCACTTGGGCTTCATCTGGGCTCACCTTGTTATGTTGCGCTTCACGTGCGTGAAACCGCACCCGTTTGGCCTTGTTTATTACATGTTTGAGAAAAATTTACGGCATATGTTTGGATATGGGACAAAATCGGTTACAATCGGTTTCGTTTGCCCTTGTTGTTTCTTACATGTATGATTTGAGAAAATTTTAGTGCATATGTTTGGATATGGGACAAAATCGGTTTTGACGGATTGAGTTATTTTATTTTCAATCATCTAACTCAAAATCTACGTACATATTTCAACTACTCAATGTAATAATCTGATAAGAATTTGATATTTCAAACTACTCAACCATATACATGTATTAACATGATATTTCAACTGCTCAACCACTGTGAGTAGTGTATGTTAATGTCAGGCCACATTTTAAAGACAACAGGATGACCTGTTTGACCCGTTGCGGGTCGTGGGGTAGGTCGGGTCCACTGGGCAAAAACGCAGGCCAGGTCTGGGTCCGCAGGTACCCGGCCCGATCTGGCCCATTACCATCCTTATTTCTATATATATACCTGGAGCAATCCGGCAACTCGTCCGGGTGAATCGGGTCAGGCCCCAAACATAAAATGCTCAGTGTGTCCCGCCAGCTTGCAGTCCTCGCAGTGTACAGATCATAGCTGCTGGTGTACATGACGGCCCGCCTCACACTCACATCCCTTGTGTAGTACTTTCTCTTCTCCTCAACGTCAAGATCCATGAACCGGTGGACCCCACCTATCATACCGTCCAGCACCGCCTGTGGGATCCCGTGATTCACCACCTGAAAAAACCCAAACGCCTCCGAAGCCATCCTCACTTGCTCAACGATCCCATTTCGCCTCTCCGGATTTCCCATGTCTCCGACATCGATCACCGGGACCTCGACTGATTGTCGTGGTCCAGGCTCCCGAGCGAGCTCGTCTGGCGGACTAACGAAGATCTCGGGGATATTTTGGAGGCCCGAGTCGACTAGGCCCTTCACTCCCGCATTTGTTTCGTCAAACTCCTTCAGCATTCTCATCCTCGCTTCCTTTTCGGTGGCCATCTGAATTTTTACAAGTGTGTGTGTATGTGTCTGTGTCTGTTGGTATTCTGTTTTTGACTTTGAAATTTAGGAAGAAGGTGGGTTAAATTTGAATTTGCGGAGGAGACAAATAAGAGTTGAAAGTGGTGTAAATTGTAGTAATCTTTATCTCGTGAGTGCTGGGTTTTTGGGCTCATCTTAATTAAAGTGACCCACTAATTCACTATTTATTTATCTATATATTTACTATTTAAAGATGTTATGGCGTGATCAAGGTTTTCAAAATCGAGATTCTACGTAAAATCCTTTTGGGTGTAGAATCGGAATCGTAGAATCGGAATTGTAAAATTGTAAGACTCTACTCAAAATATCTAAAATTAATTATTTTAACAAGTTTTATGGTAATCATCAAGAATATGTATCAAAATGCTAAAAAAATCACCACTTGTTTTTCAAAATATAAATGTTCAAATTTTAACATTCTGCGCGTTCAAACTTCAAAGTTAACACTTACAAATACATAGACAAATTAGAGAATTCAATGTTCAATATCACCAAAGTCCAAAAGGCAAACATACTAGTGAATAGTGAAATATAATTTCACACTTCAAAGTTCAAACTACTAGTGAAATAACATACTAGTGAAACAAAAAAAAACACAAGTTTAAATCATAATTTATAACCAAACTAATCACCATCGCCATCACCGTCACTGCTCGAACGAAGAAGACGCAGGCGTTGTCGAGGCCGAGCCGTTTTAACGACGGAGACTCAGAGTTCTGACTGTAGGAGGCTACCACTGTGTGAACTGTGGACGATTGGAGTAATCTTTATCTTGTGAGTGCTGGGTTTTTGTGCTTATCTTAATTGAAGTGACCCACTAATTCTTTATTTATTTATCTATATATATTTAGAGATGTTACTGTATCGTTACAGAACATTCTGTCGGAATTTATAATTGTTAAATTAATTATTCCCGACAGTTACATGATGATCGCACGATTATAAAAACCAACTAAATAGTTTCGTAACGAGACCGTAGAATTTATTTTTACATTATATAATTACTTAACATATTCTACAATTACTGAGTTCTTTTTTAGATGCCCCCAATTTTACTATTTTACCTAGGGGGTGTCTATATGTACACCCCCTCAAGTGTAAAAAAGGGGTGTACATATACCACTTTTCTTTGTGTAATTTATTAAAAGGGGGTGTACATATAGCATTGCCCTTTTACCTATTGCCAGTTTTATCTATGATGAGTTGCTACCACGTGTTGCTTTGTGATTCAATAAACCTTAAGAAAACGCCACGTACGTCTTTGCTAAATTATTTCTTCTTTATCGACAATTTACTAATTGTTTATGTTGATGATGATACATAAATAAAAAATAAAGCCGATATACTTGTTTAATCTTTTATTAATTTATTTAGAATCTCTAGCTAAAATCTATCTATCTATACTACTTTAAAAGGAGGAGTGTTTTTGTAAAAATTTATAATACCTAAAAAACTCTTACTTTGACATAAATTTAATGACAAATTAATAATATACTAATACTCATCATATTTTATTTATATTTTTAATTAAAAAATGAACTACCTAAAAAACTCTTACTTTCACATGTTTTTAATGGCAAATTGGTAATATACTAATGCCACATATCTTATATCCTCCCTATATATAATTAAAAAAAACATAACTTTTTTGAATTCAACATAACAAATCAATGAAAATAATATATTTTTAAAAATTTTATGAACAAAAGTTGACTCGACA